TTTTTTTTTGTACCGGGCATTGAACTCGGGACCTTGCACTTGCCAGGCAGGTGCTTGTGCCGCTGAGCTATATCCCCGGCACCTCCTTCTTTTTTGTGGTATGAGGATTGAATCCAGGGGTTCTCTAGCCCTGAGCTGCATCCCCAATTCTTTTTATTTTGAGACAGGGTCTCACTAAGTTGCTCTGGTTGGCTTTGAACTTAGATCTTCCTGCCTCAGCCTCCCACATAACTGGGATTCGAGGCATGCACCACCATGCCTAGCTAGTTGTCACTTTCTTAAACTTAACAGTAGGAGTAAAATTTTAACACATGAAGTCTTGGGGTTCACACTCAGCCCTTATCCAGACCATAATACTGTAGACGGGTTAAAAACCTTCCTGGGTCCACAAACAGACTGGATCTGCTGGGTATCTCGGAGATTGAATCCCTGGATCGAATCTAGTGGCTGATTGGATGGGGGGTGAGGGCAAGGGGAGTTGGGGCTTTGTGCCAGGTGCTGGGTGGTGGCCACTGGGAACCATAACGAAAGCAGATGAGACCGGTTTCAGACCGTGCAGTGGGAGCTGAGTCCGGCTGACTTGGAGCCTGGGGGCTTTAGCTTATACACAGTGGCAAAAGGGGACAGCAAATGAGGGAACGGAGATGGCCAGCAGGGTAGCGGGCTGTGCCTAGACGGCTCCTGCAGTGACCTGCACTTGGAGGTGTGGGTGAGAAGTGGGGGAGGGACACGGAGCCTGGCCGGGCAGGGCGGGACTGGGACGCCATCAGGAGCAGCTCTGCTGAGCTGGAGGGCGGCACGGCTCCGGAAGCTGGTGGAGGTCCATCTGGAGACAGCTGGAGACAGGCACAAGGCTTTCGCTTCGCCGCAGGGCTGACCCACAAGGCTGGGTTCTGTCTCCACTGCCTGGGGCCAGGTGGGGAAATGTTGGCCTGGTCCAGGGTCCGTGCTTAGTAAGGATGGTGCCGGGGTGGGGGGCCCAGGCTGGACCGCAGAGTTGCTGGTGAAAGGTGTTGGTGCACCTGGAGCCCAGAGGGTGCTGCAGGGCAGGGCGCGTGTTAGCAACTGCAGGGCTCCGTGTGATTGGCAGTGGGAGCGGCAGAGGAACGAGCTGTGGCCACCAAGGGGCATGGCGGGCTTGCTGACATGCTCTGGGGTGCTGTTTGGTGTGGAGCTGAGGGGAAAGTCACTGGGACTGGGAACCGAAGAACCTAGAAGGTGATGAAGTGGCTAGGGTGTACCAGGATCCCCCAGGACTCAGGGGTAGGGTGGGTAAAGAGACATCCCAGAGGCATTTTATTTATTTATTCACTTTGTTTTTCTTGAGACAAGGTCTTGCTATGTATTCCAGGCTGGCCTTGATTACTATCTAGCCGAGGCTGGCTTCAAACTAACTCATGGCAGTCCTCCTGCCTCAGCCTTCCAAGTGCTGAGATTACAGGCAAGCACCATCAGGCCCAGCCCAAAAGCATTTTATTTATTTATTTTTTGGTACCAAGAACCAAACTCAGAACCTTGCACTTGCTAGGCAGGCGCTGTGCCCCTGAGCTATATCCCCAACCCCCCAAGGCATTTTAGAAAGTGTAACTCAGTAGTTAAGCCCAGGAGGAGGGGTATGTTTGAGGGTTGTGGGATTCAGCCCCAGGGTTCCACAGATGCTTCCATTCAGCCAGAGATGAGCTCTGTGACCGCACATTGGCTTTGTAGAGTTGAATTGCCCCATACCGACTTCACTGCCGTACTTGGCAGCCCTGGACAGATGCGATCACCGATCAGTGATTGTGTAGGTGACTGTCATATCTAACAGTCTTAGCATTTCAGAGGCATGAGCAGGCCTGCCTGTCTGATCTTTGGGTGGCCTGGCAGTTGTCACTTTGAAACACAGATAAGCATTCTGGAAATACAGGTATTCCTCATTGAATGACCAAGCTCTGTTCCTGGGACCAGACTGTTAAATAAATTGGCCACTAGATGAGGAATTGTATATAGTACGTGCATTACAATATTTAGGACAAAGACGTGGTCAAAGGAAACTCCAACTTGATGAATTTGCTTTTATTTGCATAACTCTTGCATGCAGTACCATAATGTATAACAACGTAAAATTACAGTGCTGTACTGTGCAGTACAATTAGCAAAGATTACAGTACTTAGATGTGAGGGCAGTCCAGCTGCAGCATCTGTCACCCCATTGCTCGCCAGGGCTGATTCATTCGGCTTATCTGGCTGGCTAGGTGAGCGTCTGTCTGCTTCCTCTCTCATTGCTCTGTGTGTGTCTGTTCCTCCCGTGTTGCATGCTCCAAGCTCCCAATAGAGGAGCTTGGAGCATGCAACCGTTTCCTCGGTCAGGGGTGTACGAGTAGCTGAGCTCCCTGCTAGACCCTCCAAACAAGCTCTCAAAAACTACAGTGTTATATGTGTACTGTACAAAAAAAGACACTGAGGCTTTATAAATAGGTTGTACAGAACTGTACAAAAATATGACTGGTCATAAATCCAAGGGGCAGGTCATGCCTTGGAGTGATCATTAAAAAGTAGCAAGTTAAACGAGGAATATCTGTAATTGGCGGGGCGGAGGGGGGCGGGGACCTACATACGTGCTTTGTAGATGGACATTCTGCCAGTCAGTTAAGGAGAAATATACACTTATTGCCTGAATGTGAAATGCTTCTGGAGTGAATGGTGATTGTGAAAGGTGATGATTTTCTGCACAAGCTAAGTCTCCTTCATGAAATGCTGGGGACTGGAAATGTCTCAGATTCAGAGGTTGTTTTTGTTTTTTTCTCAGGTTTTTTTTTTTTTTTTTTTGAGACAGGGTCTTGCTATGCAGTTCAGGCTGGCCTTGAGCACACTTTGTAGCCCAGCCTGGCCTCGAACTCACAACAATCCTCCTGCCTCAGCCTCCTGAGTGCTGGGATTACAGGCATGCACCATCACGCCTGGCTTTTTCTCAGATTTTGGAATACTTGCGTAGATTTTACCACCTGAGCATCTCTAGCCCAAAAATCTGAAATCCAAAATGCTATGAAATCCAAACCATTAGGAGCATTGTGTAGCAAAATTAAAGAAGTTTTGGATTTAGAACATTTCAAATTTTGGATTTTTAAATTTGGGATGCTAAACTTACATAAAAAGAAGTGTTAGGTTCCCAGAGGTTGTCCAATCAGCAGATTTTATTTATTTATTTATTTTTTGGTACCGAGAATCGAGCTCATGACCTCAGGCTTGCCAGGCAAGCACTTATGCTACTGAGCTATATCCCTAGCCCCAAGCAGCAGATTTTAGATTGTTTTAAAAAAATAGTTCCTTATAGTTTTGAATATTGTGAGGTTAAACAAATTTAAACTAAACACTACCCAAAAGAACTGCTGTCCAGGCATGGTAGTGTGTGCCCATAGTCTCACCTCCTTGGGAGGCTGAGGCAGGAAGATCACAAGTTTGGGCCAATGAGGGAAACTTAGTACCATGCTGCCTCAAAATAAAAGATAAAAAGAGCTGAGGATATTACTAAGTGGTGGAAGAGCACCCCTGGGTTCAGTTGCTACTACTGTAAAAACCAACAAAATGTGCTACAGAATCGCAGGCCTTTATAATAACTGGAGGCAAAGGAGTTTGGAGATGCGTACAACCTAAGAATCCTAAAGACTGAGTTCTTTCTAGGGAAACACATTACTGAAAATACGTTTCGCAGAATTACAGGCTGCAGTGCTTGAAAACTGAGACCTCTTAGGACACGTGTAAGTGGTGGATAGCACCTAGTCATGCAGACAGGAAGTATCTTGAGGACTTGGTAGCTGACCAGGCTGAGGATGGCTTTTCCTGTAGTCTGATGTCAAAAGTTCAAAATTTGATTAACACTGTTTCTAAAATTGCGATAATTCAATTCCTCTGATTAGACTTTAGATTTATCTGTATATCCCAGAGCCTGAGCACTGTGATGTACATCTCAGCTTTGGCTGTGGATGTTAGCACTGATTAGAAGAGGGAAGGTGTTCTAAACGGCTCAGAAGCCCCAGCATGAGCCAGCATGGTAAAGACCCAGGAAGCCCAAGAGGCTGAGGCAGGGTAATCACCTGGCTACATAGTGAGTTCAAGGCCAGCCTGAACTACATAGTGAGACCTGGCCTCGAAAAAAAAGAAGAGCAGCCTCAGCATGGTGTCACTTGCTGCAGGTGGTGGGTGGGAGCTGGAACCCGGCAGACGCCCACCGTGGTCCCTCAGCTTCCGCCTTGCAGCCCTCTTGAGAACAGCTGTCAAGGCCCACGGGACTGAGCCTGAGTTCTCTCGCTTTCTTACAGCCCTGCACCCGGGAACATCTAAGTCTTCTTCTCTCCCTTCCTACGGCAGGACCACTCTGAGCCGGGTATGGTGTCACAGGCTGCGGGGGAGGGGGTTCTGGGGGGGGCTGAGTGAGGGGGCGCTTGGGCATCCCCAAGCGCGGCGAGGCCCTCAGAGTGAAGGGCACAGATGAGGACTGTCCCTGGCTCCCACTGACCCCTCTGTGTGCCTTCCTAGCTACAGTCCACAGACTTCAGCCCATCCGAGAGGGAGACCGGGAGTCCAGGTGAGAATCGGGGCCTGTGCTGTCGGGCAGCCAGGAGAGGGGCGTCCGCAGACTCCCCGCGCAGCCAGTGTCGGATGCGGGCAGGGGTCTGTGCGAGGTCCGTGGCCGAGCTGGTGGGTTTTGAAGCTCGCTGACCTTGGCGCTGCCTCTGAACCGTGGCTCTTGTCTCCCGCAGGCCTCCAGGTGAGTGTCCCCGGGAGGGGCGTGGACGGAGTGCCGGCAGCCAGGGCCCGGCAGCTGGCAGTGTCAGGGGAAGGGTGGTGTGGGGCCATGGCATTGCCTGGCGAAGACCCGAGGAGCCCAGGGTAAGGCTGGGAAGGTCCCCTGCCCCGCTCTGGCTCACTGCGGCTTTGGTCTCCCCAGAACGGAGAGGGCCAGAGGGGGAGGATGGACCGGGGGAACTCCCTGCCCTGTGTGCTGGAGCAGAAGGTGAGGGCGCGGACCTGACCACCCAGCGGGGCGGGGCGGGGCTGAAGCCAGGCAGGCTGACTGTTCTTGCGTCCCGGAGCTGGGGGCAGCATGGAGGCCCGGAGCCGGGAAGGTGCAGGGCGACACAGCATGAGCCCTGGTGGCCTTTGCACTTGACGAGCGCCTGAGGGAGTGGAGGGGCTGCATGGGCAGACGAGACCTGAGCCTGAGCTGCCCTCCCTGCCCCTAGATCTATCCCTACGAAATGCTGATGGTGACCAACAAGGGCAGAACCAAGCTGCCCCCGGGAGTGGACCGGATGAGGCTTGAGGTGTGTAGGGAAGATGCACCAGGTGGCTGTAGGGGTCACCAGTGGGGGCCCCTGCCGGCACTGGGCGGGTGCAGGGACTGCATCCGTCAGGCCCCGCCTCCCTGCTGTGGATTGGTGTTGGGCTGACCATTGGCCCTTCCCCTGCTAGGGCGGGCGCTTGGGGGGGACAGGAGTCTGTGTACCCATTGTCACTCAGCACCCCGCCGTGCTGAGCCTCTGTCTCCTCAGCTACCTGGGTGTCCCCCCACAGAGGCATCTGTCCGCGGAGGACTTCTCCAGGGTCTTTGCCATGTCTCCTGAAGAGTTCAGCAAGCTGGCCCTGTGGAGGCGGAACGAGCTCAAGAAGAAGGCGTCCCTCTTCTGACTGCTCCGCCTTCTCTGTGACACCCCCTCCCCGCTGCTTCAGGGCTCTGGAGCTGGGGCCCGGACCCCGCAGCATCCTCTTCCCCTGGTGGGCTGGGCACAGCGGAGGTTGGCAGCAGTGGGTGGGCTCCGTTCCTCAGGGAGAGGGGAGCCCAGCCGTCCACAGCGCCGGGCTGGCAGCTGTGGACTTTCTGCCCCATGGTGAGCCAGGGCGCCTTCTCTTGTCCCTGGTCCCCACTGCCTAGCCCAACCCAGCCTGGTCTCCAGCACACAGAGTGAGTGAATGTGCCCTCTCCCTGCCTGTCACCCCATACGTAAATCCCCAGAAGAAAGTGGGGAGAAATAAAAAGGGGATGGAGCAGTCAGTCTGCCAGCTGTGCTGCCCTTTGGGCATCGTGCAGCCGGGCAGGGACAGCCCCAGGGCCCTGTGCACACCCACCTGAGCCTCCACCCCACACCCAGGCCGGAGCAGTTGGGGCCTCCAGCAGGGCGGTGCCCCCCACCCCCGCCAGCTTGCTCTGTCTTTGATGTGCCACCCTCCAGCTTTGAAGCTCTTGCTGTAGCCTGTGGCTTCCCCAGAGGCCTTGGCATAGTGTGGCAGCGCCACTTGTGCCACACCACGCCCGCCACCAGCCTCGAGCAGAGCCTCTAGGACGCCTCCTGTCACCTGCCAGAGCTTCCCTTGAGTAGATCAGGGGCGGGGCTTGGGACGCCCACCCTGGTTCCCACACACCCGCACTCTGCACTCACAGAATGTAATTTATTGGGGCCGCCCTCCGCTGCTTCCTCACCCCCTGCCCTGCCTATCACACCCCAGCTTTCTTTCTTCCCACATATGTATGTGTATAAAATTATATATATATTTTTGCCCAGGTCTGGGTTTTGTTCCTGCTCAGACCCCGGCATTCCTTTTCCACCATGTGTGTGATCGTGCTGGGACAGGGCACTCTGCTTGGAATTAAAAGGTTGCATTGGGTCCCTCAATCTATTTGTCCTTTATGAACCACCAGCCCGGGGGGAGAGGGACAGATGACATCAGGCCGAGGGGGAGCTGTGGGAGTGCAGATTCAAGTAAGAGTTGAGTGGGATAGAACTCGGGGTAGTGGCGCACACCTGTAATCGCAGCACTTGGGAGGCTGAGGCAGGAGTGCCCTGAGTTTGAGGGCAGCCTGGGATGTACAGTGAGATCCTGTCACAAACAACCACAGAAAAGAACAAAAGCATGGGCCAAGGAAGGAGGTGATCATTTGTTCTTGGTAAGGTGTCCCTGGGAATAGAGGTGGGATTGTGGCCTAGGTGGGTGGGAGGGGTGCAGATTTCCTGGGAGGACCAGAAAGAAGACTATAGGGGAGGGAGCAGCCTGAGCTGGTGGAAACAGGTTGTGTGGGTGCCTGCCAAAGTATGCAGGAGGGGACCAGATGAGGGAGAGATGCCCAAGTGGGGAGCCTCTGATGAGCTGGGGCCTGACTCAAGCCCCTAGATGAGTCTGCAGCTACTTTGGCGGGATGGAAAGTAGGTAAGAATTACCCTTCGTTTGATTTTTTTGAGACAGGGTCTTGATGTATAGCCTGGGTTGGTCTCAAACTCATGACAGCCCTCCTCCCTAGCTCTGAGATTACAGATGTGCGCCACCATGCCTGGCTTCAAATTCAGGTATTTATTTATTAGCAGTACTGGGGACTGAATCAAGGTCCTCTGTAGTTTTGCCAACCCCAGCACTTTTCACATTATTTTGAAACAGGGTCTCACTAAATTGCCCAGGCTGATCTAGAACTTGAGATCTTTCTGCCTCTGCATTGTGAATGACTCGTATTACAGGCACAGGCCGTCAGGACTGTTTGAACTTCTGAACTTTTTTTTTTCCCCAGAACTGGGGTGTGAACTGAGGGCCTTTGCCCTGAACTACATCCTCACCTCCCCTTTTTTAAGTTTTGAAATAGGATCTTGCTAAATCACCAGGTGCCTAGGCTGGGCTCAAACTCATGATCTCCTGCCTCAGCCTCCTAGAGTGCTGGGATTACAGGCATGCACCATCATGCCCGACTATGAACAATTCTTTTTCTTTTTTTTTTTTGGTTTTTCTCCGGTACCGGGAACCGAACTCACGACTTTGCGCTTGCCAGGCAGGTGCTTTGCCGCTGAGCTAAATCCCCAGCCCCTCTTTTTCTTTTTTTTTTTCTTTTTTTCTTTTTTTTTGGTCTTTTTCAGACAAGGTCTCACTATGCAGTTCAGGTTGGTCTTGAACTCGCTTTGTAGCCCAGTCTGGCCTCGAACTCGCAACGATCCTCTTGCTTCAGCCTCACCAGTGCTAGGATTATAGGCATGTGCCACCATGCCTGGCTGAACAATTTTAAATTATAACATTTTGTTCCGTGACATTGTGTTATTCTTTCAACAAACTTGTTGGGCCAACAGGACAGATCATTTCAGTCCTTTCAGCAAATGAGGAAATCTTGGAAGAGAGACGTTTCATCTAAAGCCTGAAGCTACATGTGGCCAATGAGTGAAGAATGGGCGCAAGCTCCCTGGTTTCCTTTTCTTTTTTCTATGCTAAGAATGGAACCCAGGACCACATGCATTCTAAGCAAGTGCTGTCTCTACCACTGAGCTACACCCCAGCCCCCGGGGTCCTGACTTCTTTTTTCATGGTACTGGGGATTGAACCCAGGGCCTTTGCGCTGAGCCACAACCCCAGCCCTTTGAGTTTTGTTTTTTTTTTTTAAATTTTGAGACAGGGTCTCCCTAAGTCACTAAATTTCCCAGGCTGGGCTCAAACTTGCAATCCTCTTCCCTCGGGTTTCCAGGTTGCTGGAATACAGGCCTGTAGCTCCACGCTGGCTGAGTGCCTTGACTTCTAACCCAGGCCTCTCCCAGAAGGTGGTGCTGTCTCTCAGGAGCAGCAGGCCGGCGCAGCAAAGAGGTGGGAGGGAGGAAAGGGCTGCACATGGGCAGCTGGGGACACTGGGAACACAGCGGGGCCAAAGCCAGCGTGGTCGCGGTCCACATGGGGCTCCCAGGCAGTTGGGGAAACGTCAAGGTCACCAGGTCCCAAGGGGTGCTGCAGGCAGCCTGTGATCGCAGTTGACTGGGAAACACCTGCAGTGGGGCCGCCGGGGCACTGAATCCTAAAGTATGGTAAGTTCCTGAGAGTTGAGAGGTGCTCAAAGTGGGGCTTTGGTCCCTGAAACAGCCTTAGAGAAAGTCCTTAAGCCTCCTCCACATCACAATCACACAGATGCAAAAACTGGGAAGTCAGCCAGGCATGGTGGCACACGCCTGTGATCCCAGGCCTCCAGAGGCTGAGGCAGGAGAATCGTTGGAAGTTTGAGATCAGCCTGGGCTACAAAGGCCAGCCTGAACTGCATAGTGAGACCCTGTCTCAAAAAGACAAAAAAAAGGACCAAAAAAAAGAGAAAAAGAGAAATCATTTAGTCCAGTGGCTTCCAAACGTTTTTAATAGCTAAACCTAAAAAGAAAAATTAGCCAGGCATAGTGACATACACCTTGTAAGCACCAAGGGAAGGTAAGGCAAGAGGATCCCAAGTTCAAGTAACACCTGGGCAATGTAGGGAGACCCTGCAGTGACCTTGACTATTCATCCAGTCTCCTAGGATATGTGTTGTCCAAAGGTCATGCTCCAAATGAGCTACCTGGCAGCAGACTTGAATACCTCAGTGGTCCCTGACATTTTTTGGCACACAGCACACACTGTGTACACAGAATATCTTAGAGTTTTTAGCTGAGCGTGGTGGTGCACACCTGTAATTCCAGCTACTCAGGACTCTGAGATGGGAGGATTGCAAGTACAAGGCCAGACTGAGCCACTTAGCAAGGTCCTGTCTCAAAAAATAACAAGGTCTGGAGCCAGACATAGTGGTGCATGCCTGTAACCCCAGCGCTCAGGAGGCTGAGGCAGGAGAATCAGAGAATTTGAGGCCAGTGTGGGCCACATGGTTACTTCAAGGCCAGCCTGGACTACATAGCAAGACCCTGTCTCAAAACATTTACAAAAAAGTATTAGTGTTTTAAGCCGGGTGTGGTGTGCACACCTGTAATTCCAGCACTCGGGAGGCTGAGGCAGGAGGATCATTGTGAGCTCAAGGCCAGTCTGAACTGCATAGCAAGACCGTGTCTCAAAAAGATCCTCCCCGCCCCCCCAAAATATATATATATAAAATAAAAGTATCAGAATTTTAAAAATAACATTGGAAAAGATTTTTTAAAAAGTCATGAATTCCTCATGCACCTCCATTATTATTCCTGGAGTTGTGGGAAACACAGGGAAGGGAAAATGCTGATCTGATCCATCCAGCCCACCTCCTCCATTTGGAAGGAAGCGGACCAGGTGACACCGTGGCTGTACAGAGCTAGCTCAGCTCTCCCAGCACTCTAGGCCAGTCTCTAAGCCGCTTCCCTGCCCCCCAGGCGGGCTGGGCTCTTCCCCGGTCTGACACACTTGGCTCACTGCCCTCACACTTCCCTGTGCCCGTGCCCAGGCGCTCGTTTGCAGCTGCCCTGTTTGAAAACATGTTTTCCAAGTAGCTGCCTGGGAACTGAGACCCAGATCCTGCTGAGCTGAGCCAGACCCTGGCCCTCCCTGGGGCCCAGGACACAGCCCCTGGCCTCGCTGTGGGGACTTGGGGGGCTCGCAAGCTCCAGCCCGGCAGGCTGTGACCTCCTGGGCCTGTCCTCTTGGGGAAGGAGGCACCACTTGCTGTGAAAGCTGAGACCCTAGGTTCTATGATTCTGTAAAAGGGCTGCACGCCCCTGTCCTGGGGGGACTGTTGGTGCTCTCCCCTCTTCTCGTATGATGCCAGTCATCAGCAGAAATACTTTGGGGGCACCAGAAATTGAACCCAAAGCTTCACATGCTGGGCAAATGCTCCAGTCCTGAGCTACATCCCCAGCCTTTTTATTTTTTATTTTGAAACACGGTCTCACTAAATCACGGAGCCTGGCCTCAAACTCACAATTCTCCTGCATCAGCCTCCTGAGTAGCTGGGACTGCAGGTGTACATGACCAGAAATTGTGTGTGTGTGTGTGTGTGTGTGTGTGTGTGTGTGTGTGCTGGTACTGGTATGGAACCCTGGGTCTTCACACTAAGCTACATCTCCAGCCCTTTTTTTATTTTAAGACAAAATCTCACCAAGTTATTAAATTGCCCAGACCAGGCCTGAACTTTCCATTCTCCTGCCTCAGTCTCCGGAGTGTTGGGATTAACAGTCTGTATCCCAGGCTGGCCTTGAACTTGTAATGATCCTCCTGCCTCAGCCTCCCGTGTGCTGGGATTACAGGCGTGTGCCACCAAGCCTGACTTCTTTTTTTTAAATAAGAGTTTTAATCAAATTCACAAAGGAGAGAAGCATATGATTATCAGCATTAAGCTCCCAACATATAAACTTTCCCCCTAGAAAAAAATCAAATGAGTTATTTTTTTATATTGGTAGAAATGCAGCAGAAAACATTAAAATAAGTGAAGGAAACACATAAACTATATGAAAGTGGGTATACAAAATTATAAAATTGAAACAATTGAAATTTTAGAGGTGCCTTATTTTCTTTCAAATGGCTATATTCTCATGTAAAATTACTAAATAGTAAATCAAGAATATGCTTTTCTACCCTTTCATTTTGTGTCTTTACTGTTGAAATGTTTGTTGCAGACAGTATATTGTTTAAGGAGACCTCTTGTCAGCAGGAGGATGTGGAGATGGAGCTCTTGTCGGGATCCCTAAGGCCCCACTAACTAACTAATTTTAAAAGTACAAAGCAATAAGTGAAATTCACGTTAACAATACACTTTATGTAACCCAATATTCCTAGTACATTATGGTTGCAACGTGCACCGAATACAAAACATGATCAGGGAGCTGGGTGACATTTTCTTCCCTATCACGTCTTTAAAATTTGGGGCACCTCGGACGCGGCAGGTCAGGCAGGACCAGCAATCAGTGCTCCGGTCCAGCTCAGCCTGCGCTCTCAGTTAAGAAGGAATTCTAACTTCGCGTGGAGAGAATCACCGTGTCCCGCGCGAGGGACCCCTCTTCAAGACCCGATCGCAGGCGGCCACCGGGGCGCTCTGCGCGGCGGCGCGCTCCCCTGCTGCTCGGCTGCGGCAGGTGCCAGGCCGCACTCCCCGGGGACCCGCGCGCCCCAGC